TATATCAAAATTAGAACAAAACTGTTAAGCTACTTTTAACTAGTGAATAAATGAAATATACAGAAAAAAAGCTGTTAGAATAATGATAGATAATTTTAAACTTGAGAACTGGAATGTGGTACATGAATATTCTAAAAATTGTGATACTAGCAATAATAGCCATAGTCTTGTATAACAGGAAATAGCTGGTACTTATTAAATAATATGAACATTTAATAATGTAAGAAGTTGAGTAAATATTTAATTTATATATTTATAGATATTTCATGTAAAAAAAAAGGCTGTTGTAAAATTTAGTTTTTAAAAAATATAAAAATTTATCAAAAGATTGTTCATTTAAAAAGCATTCATTATTATACTTATTTTATATAGTTGACCATGCCTATTATTATAGTTAAAACACACATGACATTATTACATTTTTTAAAACTTATTTTTTCTTTTAGGTACCACCATATTACGTTTATTAGTTTTTCCTTTAGTTGTTACATCTCAACGCCATACTGCAAAAATGAACAATAATATGCCTCAAATTCAAGCATATCAAGAAAAAATGACAGAAGCTCGATTACATGGAAACCCCTATGAAAGTAAATTATTTATTTATTTTCAATACTTTGTTACTAGTATAAAATCCTTTTTAAGTTGGTTATATAATTAGTGCACTTGTCACATATTTAAATGTAAACTGAAAATTGTTGAAACATAAATGATTTAAAAAATATGTGGTACATTCGCACTTGGTTATCTCAAACTTTTTCTCGAGTCCTTAGAATTTCTTATTTAAGCAATGTAAAAAAAATTTGTTTAACTCGAATATTTTCGTGGATAATTCAAAGTTTGAGTTTTATTAATATTATAAAATTATTGTTTCTCTCGTATACTTATGTATACATTTTAATATCGAAAATAAGGTCATTACTCATTAGTGTTATCGATAAATGGTTTAAAACGATTCATTACAAATGCTGTGATTAAAAAACAAATTCAAACAAAAATAAATAACTTTTTGAAATAATTTTCTAACCTCATTTTTATTTATACCTCTTTAAAATTACATATTATACATAATTCATATATAAATACATAGAAAATATTTTTTATTACATTACTCTATTCATAATAAATATATAGAAATTAATGTATTATGTACTGTTTTTAAAATGTTTGATGGGATAACTCAAACTTTTTTCCAGTCCCTTCAACTTCAAATTAACCAAGTTCAACTGTATTTCACTCAAAATGTTAAAATTAGTAACATTCAATTTAACATATTAAATTTTGAATAAGATTGTTTAATTTACTTTTTATTTATTGTATTCATTGAAATGTATTTAATTATGTATAATAAGCGATAATACAAATTATTAATACTTAATTTACTAGCATGTTTAAATTGTAGAAATAACATTTAATTTAAACATAGAAAAATTTTTATTTTATTCCCTCCTCTCTCAAAAAAAAGTTTACCTATGACACTCATGCATACAAAAATAATATACATTGATTCCTTACCATTTTTTTATTAGATAAAAATTAATTAAGAAAGCAGTCTCCTCCTTAAACTTTTATATTAGAGTTTAAAAGATTTTTGTTTCAGTGATACAAAATAATTATATATTATAAAAATAATAATTAATTAATGTGAATTTTATACTTTTGAATATAACTTTATAAATATTTTAAGTAAAACATATACTTTATATTTTGATTTCATTATCTGTTATGGCGTTATCAGAGGCAAACAAATCAATCATAATAAAATTTTTATCAATAGGGGTCTAAAAATTAATTTATTGTTTTCAATTTCACCAATCGTAAAATAATGTAATTATTTTAACAAAACTTTTGTTATTTCATCATCATTATATTTGCCCTTTGTAGTATGTAAATTCTCCTCTGGATTAGTATATCTTAATAACAGGGTAAAACATTTTTTTAATTAATAAAGATTACCAGTGCTTAGTAATTTCAAATCAAATTTTAATTATGTTATAATATTCAGTTTATTTATGAATGATTTTTTCTGTAAAATTTAATGTGATTATTGCACAAATTTTTGTTGGGGAATCATTTTATTGATTTCTGGTTAGAAAAATAACTAAGACATGTAAAATATTTTATAATTGTATTGAAGTTTGTGAAAATGATAGGTTGTTATTTATGTAATAGTTTATGAAAGTGTCAAGACTGTTTTAATTAAATTGATTTTTAATGAAATGAAGTGATTGATGTAAAAATTAATATTTATTTTAGTGGCAAGAGCTTCACAAGAACTTATGTTATTTATGAAAACTCATCAAGTAAACCCATTGAAGGGTATGATATTGCCAGCTGTTCAAGTAATTTACATTCTGCCCTAAAAATTAATCTTTCAATAATAATTAATATACATTTTTTTTTTAAAGTTTCCTATATTTTTAAGTATGTTTTTGGGATTAAGAAGTATGGCAATGTTACCTTTAGAAAGTTTTAAATATGGTGGTCTTTGGTGGTTCTCAGATATTACATTGCCTGACCAATTTTTCATATTGCCTATTGTTACTGTTGTCACTCTTGGTGTGACATTAGAGGTAGTATTGAAATGTGACTGTGTAAATGATATATATTTACATTAATTTGTTTTTTAAATTTTTAGCTTGGAGCCGATATTGGCAAACTTGCTTCCTCAGGTGTGGGGTTTGGAAAATACCTTAAATATGGAGTTCGTGTATTACCTCTTGTTGTGTTTCCTTTTATTGTGAATTTCCCATGTGTGAGTATTAATTTAACTGAATGTTATTTTAAAAATTATGATTTATAGCTTAATTAATAAGTAGGTAATCTAATTATTTTTATCATTTAATTACATAAGACAAGTACAATTTTATGTTAATTATTGTTAATACTGGATTGATTAAAAGCAAAGAAAAGATTTTATATTGTATAACTTCAAGAAAATCATACAATTAAACAGTTTATCACTATTAATTTTATTATTTTTAGGCTGTATGTTTATACTGGGCATCTACTAATTTTATTTCACTTGGTCAAGTATTATTTTTGAAAATTCCAAGTGTAAGGAACTATTTTAATATTGAAGAAAAAAGAATTGTAGAAAAACCGAAGTCAAAAAAGAAAGGAGTCATTGGAGAGTTTAAAGAGTGTAAGAATTTTTTTAATAGTTTTCTTCAACACATAAAAAATAAAATAACTTAATGCGGTTTTTTATAGCGTGGAAAAACATGCAAGTTGTAAAAGAAATTGAAGAAAGAGAACGTTTAGATCATATGAAATTCACACAAGCTGGTCGAGCAGCACCAATTAAGACGTTTAAATATAATCCTAAAGTTGTTGGTGGTATCAAAAAAGAAAATTAATATAAATTGTTGTAGTATAGTTAATGTTTGTTTTTATATATGATATATAAAATGTATTAATAACTATATATATATATGTATGTATATATGTTGTATCTTTTAGAACAAAGATACATTTTATGACTAAAATAGTGTTTCCATATGCATTTATTTAAAACTGCAGCTATTCTTTTCTTGTCATCTAAATGTGTCATTTTATAAATTACATTTGAATTTATGACTACCTGGTGTTAAAGTAACTGATACTTTTAAGTTCAGTGGTAAAATCATAAAAATAATGTAGTGTTCCTGCTACAAAGGATAGTTTGTATGAACAAAACCTTAACTCAACTCTTTAGCATCAAAATATACTTTCTTTTAATAGTATTAAATTTGGTCAAGATACAAATTGCAAATTATAATAATAATATAATATATATAATATATAAATAATAGGTATACAGATACTGCTATTATTTATCTTTAATTTAATGTATTGTACACTATATTAAATGTTAACTATTTTGTGTACATCTATGCGTAAAGATAATAAGGACATTCATGCAAAGAATATTTTATTCGAAGAATAGTTAATTTATTCCAAATTTCTAGTACACTATAACTAGATTAAAAAAAAAAAAAAAACTGGACTGTTTTCCAAAGTTAACAATGTCAATAATTGCTTGATTACAAATCCAAGATATAAATTGAAATTATTTTATCAGCTCTCAAGGTTAATGATCAAGTGAGGTCATAATACAAAATATAATTTAGCAATGTTTTTAAATACTAGTTAATGAAACTGGATAAATATACAATACTAAGATAAATAAGTAACTATTTTAATAATACACTATACTTAAAACTTAAGTGATATAACATAAATATCATACAGCTCAATATTGTGTTAGTGTAAAACATGAAGTGTTAAATGAATTGTTAAAACAAAAAAAAAAAATGAATGAACACTTTTATCAAATTTTTAAATAAATTTGTCATTTTTTTTTTCTGTAAGGCATTACAGATAGGAGTGGAAGTGGGAAACAAGCATGACTAAATGAGCATTACTTTTCTTAGTTAGGTTATCAACTTTGACATTTTAAGGACTAGTTAGAAAAATTAAATTTTGATCAACAATTTTTAATTCTTCAAAGAGCACTGGATGTTCTAGATCTGATTCCTCTAATCAAATTGAATAGAAGAAATAAATCAGCCATATAAGTAATAGTAGATTGTTTTTAACAGTTAAGACAAATTTATCAAAAAATTTATTTTTTTCATCAGCTTCATCAAAATATAAATTTGTGTCTTATTGTCTAAATTAATTCTAATGTTAGCACACAATATAGTTTATAGCAAAAAAGTTTCAACTTTATACATAGGTAATTATTAATAAATACTTAAAATTAGAAAATTTATAAATTTATCATAATATAAGTAATAGCTTGTTTAGTAAGCATTTATTTGATTACATTTCTATTAACATACAAAAAAAAAAGGGGTCGAATTGATACGTTTAGAAAATAAAATCATGATAAATGTTCATTTTGTTGGATACATTATGAAAACGTATATAATTTAATGACTAAATAAATTGAAATTAATGGTCACACAAAATACAAAAATTCAAATAGAAATTCACAACAGGTAAAACTTTTTTATTCAATATTTCTTAATAATGGTAGCAACATCTACACCATTATATAATAATTGTATAAGATGTCCATCAGTATTATTATTTTTATTTACTATCATCATAAATTCTGTTTTACTATTGCATATAAGTTTCAGTTTATGTAAACTGAAATATTTCTCATCTAAACCAAGTGAACAACGTAATGTCAAGTACTTAAGATTTTGTATGTGGTTAGGAAGTTTAAATAATTTTTCTACATTTATAATACTACTTCCCATATCTACCAATATTACATCCATTGAACCTTTAAATTTATTTTTTAATTCTGCACGATACCACTGATTGTTAACCAAAGCTCCATATATGCGACAATATTTTGGTTTTTCAACAGGACTTAAAGTTTTAATTTTACTTAATTCATTCATTACAGCAAGTCTACTAGAAGAATTTACTTGAACTGTTAATATATTCATATGAATAACATTAAATACAATCACTGGAATAGGTTCAATTAGTTTAGCAACATTAAAATTATCAACATAAAGTTCTACTACACATGGTTCGCCAGTTTTTACTATAACTATAGTCATCTTTTTATGTTTGTATTGTTCCATTTCATCAGTAAAACTTTTAGATAAACTATCAAACAACTTTTTTTTATTTTTTATACTTGGAATATGTAATGAACATAGTTTAATAAATGGAGGAGCCAATTTTAAATAACCAACTGCTTTATAAAATTCAGAACATTTGTCTTGTACTCCATAATCTATGAAATAACAAGTACATTCACCTCCCTCATGTATCATTAAAATCCTTACTCTATACCATCTATTGTCGGTTAAACTTTTTGCAATTGCCATCTTACCAATTTTATATTCAGTCAATGGTTCCCAAACAGTTTCATTTTCAAGTATATTTTCAATTTTATTTTGTATTTCTTTACTATCTTCAGTTTCTACATAGAATTCATTTATTGACTGAGCATAAATAAGGTTTACAACCATTTTTGCATTAGACTGATCAATTTTCTTCAAAATTTCATATGTCTTTGGAATAAGTCCATATGAAATAATATTGTTTACATATGTTTTTATACATCTATTATCCCACTTCATATTCACCAAAAATGTTTCTTCATTGCTTAAAAAAGTTACAACTACTTCAACAGATCCTAAAAAATTAAAAATTATATCATATATATCATTTTCAGTTGAAATTACATATTCTTCATGGTCTACATCATCGAGCATACAATGATATGCCATTGCATGGTAACAAGCTATTTTGCTAGGAAGTTTCTTAAGATTTGATGATACCTCTGAATTTCCGTAGTCAATAAATTGAACAGTAAAAGTATTTTGCTCAATATTCAAAATTTTAGCTCTGTACCAAAGACCATCATTTTCATATTTAGCAGCAACTAGATCTCCAGGCAACATAGAAACCAATACTGAATCTTCATTTTCAATAAGTTGAAGACTTGTTGTTATTTCTTGAATAACCTGTTGATCATTTTTGTTTTGTATATAAAAGTTCTTAAATGAATAAAAATATGAAATATAGGCATTCCAACATTTAACTTCTATATCATTGAGTTTATCGCCTGTAAAATAAAAATATTAGAAAAATGAATATATTTAAAACATATAATGTATTCATAGTATATAACATACATTAAATCAATTTTAATTATTATTATTAGTTCATATTATTTAATATTGCTTATACAGTACAATAATATAGATTTATGATTTATTTTTAATAAATAGGTAATAATAATAATAGATTAGTAATATATTTTTAAATTTATAATAAACTACAAATAATAATTAATACAGTAATACCTAATTAATAATAATAATAATAATTATATATATACTTATTAGTTATTAATATAATGTACAAAAGTAAGAGAAATAATAAGAAAATAAATATTACCAAAAAAATAATATGTGGATGCCTATATTTAAAACAATTATCTCATTAAATGACTAACTTAATATCTAATCAATAAATAAGGTATTATTTAAAACTTTATAAACATATAGGTACATAGGAAAATATTTAAAAAATAATAATTATGTCAATAGATTAATTTTATTATTTGAAGATTATTTTAATTTTACATTTAATTTATAAGTAGTAGGTGCATTAAAATCTTATAAAAAATATATATATTATTTTTAATTTGTAAAAAATTAATTAAAAATGACATACATTCAGTTAATAATAAGTTCTTAATGCCTTAGGTATCTGTAATTATTATATGACCTATTCAAATACATTATATTTAGAAAATAGGTATTAGATAAATGGAATATTAGTTGTAGTTTAATTTAGATAATTTAGTTTTAATTTCAAAATAAAGTTAGAATGGTATAAGTATTATTTAAAATTTCCTTTAAATTACCTAGTAAAATGTTTATAAATTATATAATATATTACTTGAAATTAAATAAATATTTTATTTTTTTTTACAGATTCCTAAATTAAATTAACCTAATTACTTATAATCTGTTTATATTTTGAGTTAATTAAGGGTTATTGAGTACCTACTTGATCTCCACTATATATAGGCACTATAAAATGTATTTATTTATTTATTTAGAATTCAACGGGACTAGCCCTTTTACAAAATTGAAAGTGGTAGATAGACCAATAATGTATAGAAAAAATTAATTATGATGATGCATCAAATACTTAGTACCTATATCAATGAAATAATTTACTAAAAGGTCACAAAGCTTTGATTGTAATTATTTAAAAATATAACAATGATTTATTCAATTCACTGAACATAGCTGAGTTAGTTTCTGTTAAATCTATAATTTACATGCATATAATTATTATAGTATAATTGTTACTAAACCTTGAAAATTAAAATCAAATATACCTAGTATACATATACTTATAGTATAGATTAGAAAATAATTTAAAAGAACCTTAAATTCACATGTGTTTTCTATTTTACAAACATATAATTTAATAAATTTATACCTAGCAGAATCTATTTTATGTTATTACTTTTAATACTAAAATTAATTGACTTATCAACAAAATATTAATGTAAAAATATTATCCAGTGGTATAGCTAAAAAGTAAACCTAGGCCTATTGATTTTTCTCCAAAAATAATTTTTTTATATCTAATATTAAATGTGCTATCTATAATTCATATGGTTATGTGTATATTAATATTTTTTTTTGAAATATAGAATCTATCCAGAAAAAAAAAACTTTAGTTATGCCACTGATATTGTTTAGAATAACTCATGAGTTTTTAATATATTAAAGACGATATCATATCAAAACTCACTTAAAAGTTAAAATACCATTAAAAGCAGATGAGATAATGCCACAAGAATTATAACCTTCAATTTTATGGTAGAACGATTCCCTCTAATGTTAAAGCTAACAACATAAAATTGGTTCTGCTAAATGCATATTCACTTACTTATTGTATGAAAGACTAAGAAAACATAGGTTTAAGGGTTTGACGTTTTTATGAGTACCAGAGTACAGTAAGTAGTGCAGATATATCTATGGATATTGGATATCGGGTAATTTACTATATAGTGTCAAACATTATTATCGATGTTATATTGCTATTGGCATTTTTTCAAAACAACTTTTTTCGATGAGGTCCGCCCGGAAGTGAGATATATAAATTTTAGTAGAATATAATATTTATACGTACACGTCATGTCGAAGCAATATGATGATCCACGACAATTTATTGTAACAGTTTAACTAAAAAAAGTCAAAGACTTTATTTTTAAATTTTACTAACGCGCGAAACGCAACAGATATGGATCGCGAGTGTCAAACTGTCAACATAGTAACATACCACATGTTGCACGGTCGTAAGAATCGCACTCGGTGAACAATAATTCGCACATCGCTATACTATAATTAGGTATATGATATAACCACAGAATTCTGTGATATAACCATATAACCATCAATACTGCTGTGCAGTGTACATAAGCGCAAGCGGTGACGACTGACGACTGACGAGTGACGAGTGACGACCAATTCAACTGGATACTGGATAGTGGATATTGTGACCGGCGACTGCTGACGGAATTATGAACTACAATAACACGGTCTTAATTAATTATCACTAATTATTCTATATTTATATTTTAAATTCCAAGTATAGGTAACGATCGACTTCGATACGATAAGGCTAGGATCACATTATGCGTTTTGTCGGTTCCCGACTAACCGGAGCCGAATCGCAACACTTTAAAATAAAATAGGTTTAAATATAAAACGCGTTATCAGGGCCAGACTAGACCGATTTGCGGAACCGATTAAAAACCGTCTGAAAGCGACCGCAACGTGTTGTGGCCTAACCGTCCGGATGCGAAAGCACAACACATGCGATGCAGTTTGTCGGATCACATTTGTGCGGATTATCGATGACCGAAATTGAAAATTTTATGAATAATTAATAATCATTTTTAAATTTAAATAATTAAAAAACTTAAAATATATTTGTATTATACACATATAATATATATATATATATATTATTATATTTTATTTATATTATAGATGTTTATTATTATTTATTAGCATAATTAGTTAATACACGTTTTAAATAAAAACAAATAATTCTAATTACACAACCTTTTTGTTATTTTTTTACTTATAATATTAGATACATTTCGTTAAAATAAAAAATCAATTTAAAATTTAAATTTAAATTAAAAATGATTTTCGGGCTTTTTAATCTCACTTGTATGTATTCGGTTACCGATAAAACGCACAGTATAAACAATCGTCCCGATTGCGGTTAATCGGGATAGTATTTTTCGGTTGCCGACAAATCGCAATAATCGCATAGTGTGATCCTAGCCTAATAGATGTAATTCTCTTTCTTGAAACTAAATAATAAGATGATCGATTTTCACAGTAATATGAAAATTTAATTTTTATAAATTGATTATTATTTAAATTATAAGTAGTAAGTACTAAGTAGCCCTGCAGCCATGTTCCGTGTTCGTCCAATGCATACCTACGTATTTCTGTGCTCCGTGTTTTTTTTTCTCATGATGTTATTTCGCTTGTGTATTTAATATTTATTCGTTTTAATGTTTTATTCTTCCTTTTGAAATTAAAATTGACATACGTAATTTAGTTTTGTCTTTCTTAGCCTAGTGGACAACAGTGAGGACTATACAGATACTGTAAGTGGTTAAAACTTAAAAAAAAATGAATTATTAATTACTTAAGATAACGTCGCACCCGCATGTGTTGTCTTTGTCTTACACGCGTACGACGTGGTAAATTTTCGTTCACCAGTTTCAATAGTGTGCTTTTATTTGATATTAGAGTAAATTTATCTATTATCCAACTTTTAGGTAAGAACATTATCTGTGTTGTCTCGTTGGTTTTTTACGATATTTTAATTTTTAAGTAAGTTAGAGCATTTTTAAACAATTATATTTTTGATACTCATAACTTACTTAAAAATTAAAATATCGTAAAAAACCAACGAGACAACACAGATAATGTTCTTACCTAAAAGTTGGATAATAGATAAATTTACTCTAATATCAAATAAAAGCACACTATTGAAACTGGTGAACGAAAATTTACCACGTCGTACGTGTGTAAGACGGAGACAACACATATCGATGCGATGTTACACAACAAATCTATGTTGTATATGCATACACACACACAGGTAACGGCCGGTATATCTTATTGGAAGATCAACGTGCAACGTTCAACTCATCTACAGTTATATTTAACATTTTCTTAATTACCTTTGTCAATCCTATTTATATATAAGGAGTGCTTGATTTTGTACCGAATTAATTGAACTTATTGGGGTTGATAATTACATCTGCAAATTCGCAAATCTGGTAACATCTTATAGACCTAGTTTACCACCGTTTTTTGAAAAAATTCTAGAGAAATTAGTTCTTAAACGGGTGTTACCTAGTATCAGCAAAAATAAAATACTTCCCGGTCATCAAATCGATTTCCGTCAATCACATTCCACTAGCCATCAAGCACACAGGATAGTTGACGCAATTTCTTCGTCCCTAATCCCTTGAGAAAAAATCATATTGCAATTGTGTCTTCCTTAATATTTCGCAAACGTTTGATAAGGTATGGGCGTATGGCACAATGGCCTACTATTTAAACTTAAAAAAATGTCTACACCCTTCCTACTACCTACTCATAAAATTGTACTTAACTGATTGCAACTTCCAAGTATGTTATGCCTCCTCTGTCTTAAGCTCTGTCTATAGCTTCCATAATTTCCCCTACGCAGTTTTAAGTTTTAATTTTTATGAATTATCTAGAAAAATGATGAGTAAAATTTAAATTGATTAATAATTAATAATGCATAAAAATTCTTTGTTTTACCTGAATGCCATAAAAATATAAATGTATATTATATCTTATATAATAATTAATAGTTAATAATATTCAACATCAAAAATTATACGTTTAAAATTATTATAAGTATTTATAATAGAAAAAATTGACGTTTCATTGTTTTTGTCTATATTTAGATGTTTGTACATGTCGAAAATACTAAACAGATTTTTCTTGGTATCCATTTTAAAATCGTAATTTTTCTTTTTTACTATATTTCATTACTCTTTAATAAGGAATTATTAACTCCGAGTCTCTGAACTCTGGATTAATTGATTAAAGTAGCATTATTTTACTTCAGTATCACTACTATACCACCATCAGTGATCACAGATTAATATTCGTTATAACTTACTAAGTATGTACAGATTGTTTCTCGGGGATTTTTATAGCTGTAATAACGAGAAATTAAGACAAATAAAATAATAATAAATAAGTTAAAAATAAAGATATTAATTGGGCCGGTGGGCCGGACATACACAAGGAACACAAGTCTTGGATGTAAGTCCGGTATTAATAATATTGATATACACCTGTTCTCGCATTATTACCTTCCTCTTATTCTTCAGAGGGTTCTCGAGGTCTTGTATTCGAGAATATAATCAAGCATACCGTTACGTAAAATTAGTATTAATAGAACCTATACTAACTATAAGTATTCTAGACATGCACCTTACCTGATTCGCCGCAGTGAATGTCTGTTGTAAGTTCCTCGGAGAGAGATATAAAGTAACACAAATTACGAAATAACTTAAGGAAAATTTAAATTCAAATAAGAAAAAAACAACACTGATTTGACTAATAAAAAAAAAAAAAAAATAAGAAGTCCAGCTGTCACTCGCAGAATCTTGTGTGTTTGATGGTCTTAGGAAAAGCTCTTGCTTGCTTGTGTGGTGCGCCTGAACTGGATAGGTTGGTCGGTGCTCATGCACTCGATGGTTTTGCTGGTGCTCATGCACTGGTGAGAGAACTGAGAAGACGACTTGGTCAAGCCAGCCAGAGTCGCAGGTGGCACCATCAAAGGTCTCCGTGTTTTTTTAAAGAAATAGGCTTTCTCTTAAGCGACAGAGGCTCTCATTGGACCATCCCTTGTCTTTAGCGGCACACGAAATTGGGTCACACGCTTTTCGGCACATTGCCACAAATCATGTGTCAATCCCTTCGTGACCATATAAGTCGTTTCTTTTATCAGTGGTGAAAGGATGTTTATGGTATTTTAATCTGCGTGCGACAACTTAACCGTTATTTTATTTATTTGAGTTTTATGATTATATATAATATACAATGATGTGTGAGCCTATCATTACACAGTCTAAAATAAATATCTCTCTATACGCGTCAAGGTTATATCTAGGTTAGTTTGTAGGTATGTATACGATGCATAACCATGGTAATTGGTAATTATTTTGTTAAAATTCAGAAACATTATTTGTGGGGATTTAAAACTTTTTCGTACATTATGAACTTTACCATATAGGTACGCAATGACATTTTCAAAATACATAGATTAATTTATTATCTATTGATGAATTATAAGCTTATTTACATTTTTTATAATATTAAAAGTATAAAGTGTTATTAACTTTTGTATTAATAACATTATTATATAATATAAATGTATGGTATAAATAAAAATTTATTTTTAATTGAGCAAGTTTCGACAACTTAAACCGTTAGCTATAAGATTTTTATGTTTGCTATTAGGTTTTTGGAACGCATGTTTTCATGTGTAGGATATGGCTTTGTTGAGTTCGTTGCTAAAAATCGGGGTTGTCACTCATTTGAGACCAGTTTTATTAATAATTTGTGTATCCTATGACGCTTAGCTGCAGAAAAAAAAAGAGGACAATTCCTAAAAAACAATTAACATATTTCAAGCACCATATTATATATTTAAATTTATTTTTAAATTACTGAGTCGTATTATTTATTAAAAAATATGTAAATGGTTTTCAATGTTTTCATATCATGACAAATTCAATTACATTAGAATTTAGAATTGTGTATTATAAATATTTTAAAAACATTTTTTTTTTTGTTGTAATTTTTAACAATTTTAAGACATAAATACGCGCAAATTTAATAAGTTTTTAGGGCATATAAATTTCTGTTCTGCTTATTATTATGATTTAATATTGAGCACCATTTTTTTCGAGATGTAAATAAATTTATATCAATTATGTAAATTTAAATTTATAAAAGTTTACGTTAGGTTTTCACAAAATACTAATTTATTTCTCCACTCTTAGATCAAATAATATTATTTCAGTTAAATATTACGATTAAAAATCAATTTTTAATTTGTGAATTATAATACTTTAACTATATTATAGAGTATTATAGTACCCGTATTAGATCCCCGTATGGTGTGTGAATACGTATTTCCATTATTTTTGGAATACTTAGTGAAAAAGTAATAATGTTTTCATAAGAACTGAAAGACCACCTGTTTAACGATAATAAATACGGTGTTATGATGCACAAAAAACTAAAATAGTTTATTCAGTTGTGTAAAATTTATTGGTTCTTTCATGACGAAAAAACACAAAGTTAAGCATAAGAATTTTTTAAATATTTTTCTTCAACTTATTTTCACAAGCTCTATTCGTCTGTATTAAAACTTAAAAGTAACTGCGTCGAAAATAGTGTTAATCATATATTATTTAAAAATGACGATTAATACGTTTACATTTTGTAAAGGTCTTATAATTTCCACAGTGTTTAACATAATAAATTTAACTTCAGTAAAATGCAATGATTTTTATTTACAAAATAATGCAAATAAACCGGTTGTTCCGGATTATGGTATGAATTACGATATTATATAATTTACCTACAATTGTGTTCAAATAATCATATAATATTTTCAAATATTATGTAAAATTTATATTTTAGACGATAAGATTCTAAATTACTTATATGAATACAGTATTAAAAAGGTATCAAATTACTTTTGTTTTTTTAGATACGTTCCTCATAGAAGAGGATGGTGACTCGTATTTTAATTATCATTTTCGTACTACTTCATATCGTAAGTCAATTCTTAGTTTTTTTGTACAACTTATTGAAGATAATTATTCTGCATTTAAATATTTCTTAATAAAAAAATACAATATGTGAAGAAATATTTTTGCTTATGAATATAATATTCATTCAAAAAAAGTAAATATTATCACTTATTAATGATTAAAAATTAATAATCTTGTGCTTTTTAAAATTAATAGTAATAAAACTGGAGTTACGGAATTCTTTAACTGTTATTTTATTTTTTTTAAATTGTTCAGAAGAATTTAAATTTTTTAGCGGGCCAATTGAAAATGAATCCAAAGGGCATTTTCTCTTCAATTTATAGTAAGTTTTTCAAAATTATATTTAATCCTAGAGATACATTTGTCACAAAGTTTGTGCAGTCATTTAATTTCTTTCCAAAAAATCTGATTTTTGGATTTATCACTGGAATTTTGTGGACCAAGTATAAATGTAATTTACAGAAATAATATAATTTGATTTATAGTTGTATAGTTTTACACATTATTTTTACCTATATAATCAGTGTTGTGTTATTAATATAATTTTGTCATGTATATTTTATAGATTGTGCATACACAGGTTTGTGTTTTAATATTTTATATTAGACATTTTTTAAAACATTTTAGTTTCAAGCAATAAAAATTTTTGTGAAAATTATTGATTTCTTTAGTTAACTGATAATACCTATTATACTACAATATTTTAAAAATATTTTAAATTCTATTGTTATAATGTGATTTAATTAATTTCGCAAGAAATATGATTTTTCGGTAGGTACCTATTAGAAATGTTTGAATTATCGAACGATCATTTAAACTTGGATTTTGTGGATTATGTATAAAACGCAGTTAAATTAATAGTAATTTACAATCCTCATCTATTTAATTGATTAAACACAAAAAAATCAAAATTTTCTTCCACAATCTACCTTTTGTCATTGACAGCTAATATTGATTTTGAATTTATAAGAAAACACATAGTTACATCAGTACACCACCAACTGACCTACTTAAGCAATTCAATTTTTTTTATGGTTAAATATTTATATGATCGGACATTTTTACAATTATAGATAGTTTATTTTTTGATTTTCTGAAATATAAAAATCAAGATGACAAAATTAAATGAATAAATATTTTTACATGCTATTTATTTATTTATTAAATTAACACTTTTAGATGTAAAGTATATAGGAAAGTAAAACTAAAAAATAGATTTATTAATATAAAATAAATGGGGTTTTTTTTAAGTTGTTTTTATAAATGTATTTATACTTATCTAGAATTTTATGAGTATTAAACAATGTTGAAGAAGTAAATTTTTAAGTCGATTAAACTTGTACAAAAAAATGTATCTTATGAAATATCGTATAAGGTATTGAATTAGATATAACTTCTCTTGAAATTAATTAAGACATTTTGAGGTTTTGCTTTAAATTAAATATATATAAGTAGTGTATGCATTTAGAAAAATTATTTTTTTATTGAAAATAAAACAAATAAATATTAAATTTCCATGCATGTTATAAATAAATATTTTACTGTTTAGTTATAATATTTATTGATCCTATCAAAGATTTTTATATATATAGAAATATTTAGTTTTATATATACATATATTATACCATTTTCATGTTGTGACTTGACTAATAATTATACTTTAATATATTTAATTTTTAGTATTGCCAGAGGTAAATTCTGTAAATTTTGATTATACGGGATATTCGGAAAAAATGAAAAAATTAAGTAAATTACATTATATTTTAGATAATAAATTAACAATTAATATAACAAATAACATATACACAATTTAACGATTTTTAATTTTGAAGGAGAGGTTGAGAAAATCATAAAATTATATGAATGAAATATTGAGGTTTAAAGGTTAACGTACCCATTTTTATTTCAATCACACACATTTATAGTTTATACTAATCGTTCAGTAATGTTTAGTAAAAGAAACATTTTAGAAAGTTCCTTTTAGTAGTAGTTATGAAAAGTGGCGTATCTATAGGCTATAGATGCAGACCTAGTGATGAAATCGTATTGTGTATTCTTAAAATTCTAATGATAAAAAAATTTTATTTAAAAATCGTCTTATATTCTTATTAAATTTTATTAAATGTATGTATAATAATAAATAGATTTTATCTTAACACTATTAATGTATTTAAACTTAATTGTATAATCATTGCTGCACGTGCCTCGTGGTATTAGGTTAAAAGTAATATAAATCACCCATATAAAAATAGCTCGGAAAAAAGTTGCCGGAAAATGATATACTATAAATTGGGTTTACTAATCTTATTTGTAGTTTTACAATTTTTAACATACAACGAACATCTATAATATACAATATATCTACCTATTTTATTTCTTCAGTTTGTGTTTGGAGTTGTATGCGAGTATTTAACGATGAAAATTCTATAATAAAATAAAGAAAAATAATAAAATTGCATTTCACATGTATACATCGTATATACTAAACATAAGAAATGTCAAAATATTATTCGATGAAAATTGTCAAAAAAATCATTAATGAATGTATTACAATATTAATTATAGATTTAAATTATACAAAAATTATACAATTGGAACACAAATATTGACATGTTGCTAATGAGGGTTCGATAGGAGTCATGAAAATCAATAAAAAAAAAAAAGCGTACTAATGTAAATATATATTATATGTGTATAAGCGTATAATGTTTAATTATTGTAAAATTTTCCTCAACTAAATTATAGAAAATTATCAATTTGTCAATTTGTTAATTCAATAAAGGACTTTAAAAGTAAGATAATTAATTTTAAATTATGTTTACATGTTTGAAATATGAATCAAAACTAAACGATTTGCAAAAGAAATATAGAATAGCTTTAAATGAAGAATCTGAGTATGGTAAACTATTTGAATATTATTAATAAATTATCATATTTTACACTTTAAAAAATATTTCAAGTATATAAAGATAATTTTTTATTAGCGTTTGAAGTTCCCAATAAAAAAAAAATACGTCATAACCTCGAAATGTTTAAATTATTTTGTATTTATAAATTTATAAAATGTTTAATTTATGTAAATTAAGTTTTAAAATGTAATTTATATTTAAACTAACATAAAAAAATCTAAAATATATGATATATAAACTTATTAATATTTTTGTAATTTAAAAAATACTATTCGGAAAGACTTTTAACTTTATGTCACTAAGTAAATTATTGTTTCTACTACTTACAGTGAAATTTTCTAAACATTTAAACAATGATTGAAAATCTATTTTTTTATATCGTTTTAGAGTACTAAATTAATATAAATTAATAAAATCTAATAATATTATAATATGAAATAATATTTCATCATTTAATTTAAATTTAACATATCGATTTACATACTATATCGATACACCAATCATATCTGAGCAGAATCCCCGTTTTATTGTTTACTTATGACATAGCTTATTTAATATGTAATAAACTAATAAAAATAAGAATAAACTGGTTATTTTGAAAAGTAAATTAATAGTTTTTAAAAGGCCAAATCGTCGTTACTTTCTACAAAATAAGCCTGAATATGAGCCTGTAAAATGGATACAAAATGAATTACTTGCAAATTACCTAAATTATATATGTCTTAGACTATAGATTCTATAGTATAGAATATATTTATTTATTCCCATAAATGCAAATAATATACATTAATAATATCACAAACTAAGATATGTCTTAGTTTGTGAATAATATACTTAATATAGGTACTCCATTGCAAATTACTTAGTATTTTCACTTACAAAATAATTTCTCATACACCTAATCGCCCTAGTCTACGGCATATGTTTATTATTTAGATAAAAATTATGTTATGTGCTACAGCCCATCGACCATATTATTATATGAACATAATAAATATTTTATTTTCATGATCTTGCATTGGCCTGGAACTGATACTTGAATGACAGTTAAGTATTTTGAAAAAACTTATGATGCAACAATGAAGGCATATCATGCAGTTGAGTTATTTGAAAATAATGAAAATGAAGATCAAAGAAAGATTTACGAAATGGATAAAAATGCTGCAATAGAATATTACCTACAAAATCAAATGCCTGACATATCAAACAAAAGCTTATCTACTGGTAGTTTAAACATATTTAATAATATATTTATCTTTAATACTATTATACAAGGTGCATTTTGAGAAAATTACACACTATTCAAGTCATGTTATAAGTATATGTATACTCTATGATATAGAAAACATTTAAAAGCTTAGGTGTTTCATGGGGAATTGAATTATTAACACAATAACTTATAATATTGACAAAATGTCAAAATAATTAGGTAATAGTAATACCTACTATAAAGAAAGAGAAATATAAAACAACGTAAAACCAATATTTCATGAAAAATTTGCTATCACTTTCCAACTATAATAATGGTAAATCTTTTACCGTATTAAAATATGAAAATTAATTATTGATATTATCTTTCTATAACAGTTAACTTCACAAATAACGAAATATTTGTTGAAATTAAACTTTGAGTGTGTACTTAGGATTTATATTGGCATTTAATGTAAGTCGTAAGATAAATAACACGACTTTATGATAAATAATATGGTTATAAAACTATAATATATGATATGTAACATACGACTGGTCTGTATTAGGAACTTCAGTAGATACAGTACTTATGCTGTTTAGTACGAGCTGTTTAGTATCTATATAGACTGTATAATATTTAAACCAAAAGCCGAATTATATGTAATTCTTGATGTTTTATACTCATAATTTACATCCATATAACAATCAAAAGTTACGTCCTGATATTTATATTAATAAGTGGAAGGTCATCTAATAGTAAAATATAATACTGATACGTGTACACTTGTCACTTGTGCTTAAAAGTAGAATATTCATATTAATTGTATATTTCAACAATTTTAACGTACATCTACAAACTCGACTATTCTCCGCATTCGAATAAAATCAAATTAAATTTATGTATTTTTAACAGTATATTGGAATACAGAAATACCCAGATACGTATTTAAAAATTATGAACTTTATGTCGATCCAACAGAAGAAATCTATTACCGTGAGTAAACCCTCAATTAATTAAATATATACATATAAACTAAATATACTTTTTAATTACATTTTATACAGTAATCGGTATATTGCTTATTCTTTTAACGCAAACGTTATATTTGAATTTATAGTATCCGTCATTGTAGATCATATTATTTAAATTAGCTATAACCAGTACATTTTTGTTATTTTTGATATTAGTTAATTTTATTTATATTTATTTAACTTGATTTAATCTAAGTTTTACCTGTTGTAAAAAAAAAAAAAAAAAAATTTAACCGTAAAATATAATCAATGTTTATGTTGCCAATCGCTGTTATTTTCGGTCTGAAATTAAAATTATACTTGTTATATCAATATATCATTATATATTTCTAATAAATTTTACATTCATTTTTACTATAGTAGGTACATATTAGTATATTACAGTTACTTGATTCACATTGATGGTATAATTTACATAGTAATATACTATACATATTATCTATTGCTAATAATTTGTGATGACTAATGCTTATTTTAGGGAGTGGCTAAATAAATTGATTGTGGTAAAATTAGAGAATTTTTTTATGAATCGTATTGAATTGTATGGCACAGTTGCGTAAACCGCTATAGTAACTATTGATCTAGAGATTAAAAAAAGAGTTTGATTATTCGAAACTAATAAGTCTTAGTTTTGATGGCGCTGCAAATTTTCTTGGAAGTATAACTGGATTACGAAAAAAAATATCTATAATAGTAAAAAGAAAAATATTGTATAATGTGTTAAATTCATTGTAGAGCTCATTTTTATCATCAGCATTAACTTATGTTCGCAATAAATATGATTAAATTAAACAAACCTTCCAAGTAGTTAAAGATATTTATAAACTGTTGTCTGTTTCATAAACCTGCTAAACATGAAAAGATATTTCATGATATTCAAGAATCTATATAAATGAAATAAAAATTGAAAATACCGGCAACTATTGATACGGGCGATACCCGTTTCCGCCAAAAGTGTATCATTCCCTTTTCCATCAATATTCGTTTCCACCAAATAAAAAAAAAATTAAAAATAAAAATAATAATTACTATGGTATAATTGTAAATGATCAGATATAAAAATGTAAAAAAATGATATATTATGGTACTATACGATACCTTAGTTATGTATAAATTGTAACTATATATACAATTAATTGATATATTTTTTTTAAATTGTTGGATATACTTTTCACAAAATCGTATCTGAAATTTAAAACAGTTTTGTTTTTAATAAATATATTTAGTATATTATTTTATGAAACGTATTCGCAATATGCTACCTTCCAATTATTCCATTTTTGTAGTCCGTTATAATTTGGTCATTTTTTTTTTTTTTTGGCGGATTCTTACAGTATGATCTTGTGGATTATTTGATATGTTAGTACTTTTTAATTTGATGTACACGGATCTGTCTGTCTAAATTTTTGTTAATAGAACAGTTAACCATTTATAATAATTGGAGACTTTCTTTATAAAATTGATTGAACCTCAATGAAATGACTCGCTGCATTGGATTGTCCGTTGTGAAGCTGCAGCGCCGCCAAAGTGTCGGTGAATACATACTATTTTCATCAATGTAATTCTCTAATAAATAATCTGAGTATTTTCAACTCGTTCGTCGATAGGTTGATTTGACATAAAATCTTCAACAAAGCATTCAGACTTCAGTCGTTCTTAAAAATAAACCAAAAGTATGCCGTCATACCTTTCAGATGATTGATTTTGGTTTTCAGTCGACAATCCGAGCCACGTTGACGATACCAAGCCTGCGTTAAATAAATCGACATCCATATTTTGTCTGTGGCCTCATTTACAGGTTTAAAATCGCCTTTTCGAAGGCAATGATTTTACTTTTGGTGAAACGTAGATGAATCGACGAACATTTATCAACAATAAATTTGAATTGTATAATAACGTGTCCATATTTTGTCGGTAATAAATAAAAAAATGGTATATGACCATTTTGATACCATGAATTGTGGATTGCATAAAAATCAGCTGCATACTTA